TAATAAGAGCAGCCTGAAACTTCTGAAAATAAATCCAACGTAATCAAATACTCACCGCTACACAAATTATAGAAGGCAAGCTGAGAGCAGAATATCAACATATCATTTCTTCAGAAGGCTTCAAGTTTTTCAGCTAGTTAAAGAGCCCAAAACCCAGATTCTTCTACATAAGCTCAGTCTTTGAAATTCTTCACTGCTGACAAAATATTTTTTAGTGGATGCTGGCACACTGGCAGTAAGCAAAACCCAGCAGTTCTGCCACTGATTCCACTTGGGTAAATAACTTACTCTGCTTTATAGTATCCGCTTTACATCTTTGGAGAAGAGAGAGAACTCGAGATTGATCTTACAAGGCAAAAATATAACATAAATGCCAATTATTGTCATAATCCAAGTCTTACAGAAGGGACTGACCCCTGACTAAGCACAGGGCTGGGAGCCAGATACTTCTGAATTCTACTCAAGGCACAGACAGATTCACACCGACACCTTATCTGTCTAACCCTAACCTTCCCTACTTCTGAAATCTGGGTTTCCTACTACTGGTGCAATTCTACAGCAGCGAGGCAGGAATTCAAACTCTGAGGCTGGATTCAAGGGCAGAATGAGGGATCAGAAGGACTAACAAACAGAGAGAAAAGCTGCAGTGGTAGCCGAGTGCTGAACCAAAGCCCCAGCCTGTGCCAAGCGCAAAGAAGGAGCTCTTGGACTTGGGAGTCAAAGACTAAACTTTGGATATATAAGCTCTGTAACAGAATTGGGGCAGGACTTGTGCGCTCGAGTTACGCAGCGAAGCAGATCTCACTGCCACTGAAGTACCGTCTTTAACGCACACGAAGAAACAGAGTCACTGTGGAGATAAAACTGAGACGTGGGCTTAACCTGGATACCAGACTGGCAAGTCAAGTATTTGCAGCTGTCATGACTACAGGGGTAGGTGTACTGCTGTCTTCTGCCTCCTTCAGTTCACTCCAGAATTTGACCAATCCTTTCCTAAAATCCAGACAGCATCTCAGAATTCTTCTCTAGTAAGTCTGCTAGTCGGAGTATCTAAATACTTGAAACACATCTTTCTGCAGAATATCCCTGTGAGTCAGGGAAATAAAACGACACTAATTTTTGAGACCAAGAGCTCACAGAACAGTACTGGCTTTCAGACAAGTCAAAATGATTTGTTCGAAGCCACACTGGCATTCTGCAAGAAGGCAGACCAAGCGCCTGGCCAAACGTGGAGCATTTTCTCACCACACATACAGCCATCCTACAGGGTCCATCTATAGCATCAGATATGACAAGGTGTAGGACAAGTTTCAAGGAATGCCATCACCAGGATTTCCACCACCTCTCTTCCATGCACCAAGAGACATGCTGAAGTATTTCAGGAACCTTCATTCTCCCTCAGGATCTATCACCAGCAGTCACAACCAACACACTTTCTTAACAGGGAAATTGGATAGTTCAGAAAACTAAAATCCAAACCCAGCAAATAACTGAAGCTTACCTACCCCTAATTTTGTGCTTAACTACAAAGCAATTTTTTTCAACTAGAAAAGTTTGCAAGTGAAGTTTTACTGGCACACACTCTTAGTGAAGACAGAGATTATACTTGGAGAACAACTCAGGAACAGATAACAGTGTCTCCTTGAAGAATATAAATCATAAAGGCAAAAACATGGGCTTTTGGCCACAGTTGCTTCCCTATTAGAGCTTTATTTTATTTAAAATAATTTCAAAAACAAACACACATCCTAATTAATGCTCTTAAAGCAACAAACACCTCTTTGTGTAGCCTAGACCTGAACTAGGGAAATTTCCTCTTGCATGACATAGAGAAGACCAAGTCCACATCCTCAGGGCAAGTTCAAATCTTTCTGTTTGCACCTCAGAGCAGGAGGAGAACACTTGCAGATCCAAATCCTGAGGCATGAGAGAAGGTGAACTGACCTGAGACCATGCTATCGCTGCAGCCAGGGCTGGTGCTGCTCTCCTGCACAGCTCCAGGACTTGGTGGAAATACCCACAGACCAGCTCAGTTCACTAACCCAGTCAACCCATGAACCAACCCATAGCTAGTTTCTGCCTGGGTTAGCGAGCTGAACCAGCCTAGAGAGGGCTCAGATTATTGCTATTACCAACTCCACAGATGGGGACAAGCCGGTTTGGCCAAAAGCAGAAGTAGGCATAAGAGGCACATATGCAGCAAGACTTCTTTTAGGTCCCTTTCAGAGTGGCTTAACTGCCTGTGAAATCATGAACTAACTCATCTGATTTATCTTAAAGTAAAACTACGGGCTCAGACACTGCTTCAGTTAAGGAAGCTTAAAATACCAACTGAACATTCCTACAGCCACCAACTATTTACACGATACCTTGTCACTGAAGACAAAAAGAGCAAATTACCCGAGTCCTCTTTCACTCAGGTTTAATTAACGTGTGTTGTGTTACATTTCAAGGAAGCTGGACAACTAACGCAGCTCAGCCATATGGTGGCTTTCTAAGCCGCTGTAACTCCACTGCTGTTCTGTGCACGCTGACTTTGGTATCGTTCACATACTTGTTCTTTTCTTTCTGTTGTTTTTCCTAAACGATGACAAGGCCTCTATCTAGTCCTTTTTCATCTGCATTACTCACGCTGATTTTCTTTCCACTCAGCAGGCTTCTACTCCCCAAGACAGCTCTGTCATTGTTGGCAGCTAGACTCGTAAGCAACGGCCTGAGAATTCAGGTAAACTTTAAGTGATGATGTTGAAACTGTCTAGTTCTATCAGAAATCATGGTTTGAAATATGCAACACAAATACCAGCAGACATATCTTACTATTAACATATATTAATTAATCAATACTGCTGTGATCCTATGAAGTACAAGTAATTACTCCCATTATATTAATGAAGAAACCAATAGAGATATACTTGCACTGGCTACAGAAGGACTTAGTTTCAGATAAATAAATAATTCTTATGAGACTAAAATCAAGAGTCTTGTGTTCACACCATGCCTCAGATCCCTCACAAGTACTGACTCTCATCCAGCTACGGCTTAAAAATTAGGTAGGTGAAATGGTAATAGCAGCTTTGCTCTTCTGACAGAGGATGCTCCCCCATGGTAGGGGCAACCAAACTACTCTCTAAAACTGTTCAGTGTTAATCTTATCCAGTATTTAAGTTAAAACTTTTTTTTTTTTTAAGATTCTGGTTTTTTTCTTTCCCTTTCTGAAACCATGATGCCCAGTTACTCTTTTTAAAAGATATCTATGGTTTAATCTGGAAACTTTATACCTAACTGGGTCATCCTGGCCCATTTCCTCTAATTTAATACTCTCCAATCCTCTCCAAATAGGTTCACCCCAGCTTTCACCCAGTCAAAAATCATTCACCTATATTTCTGTTGCATTCTCAATGACTGTAGTAACTACACATATACTGGAATAAATCGAAAAAGCTACTACTGCTCTGATGGAGGGATGGCAGCTGATGAACAGAGCACATCAACGTCCCACAATAATTCCAGAAAGCAACAGAACGTGATATCCAGCTAAAAACTGCACAGGGGCAGAACACCACTGAAATCTAGCTAAAGCACAGGGAATTAAAACTATAAAATTCACAGTTTGGAAATTTATGTTAGAAGTCTGATTCACAGCTAAAGCTGCCAGACTGTCCTTGTGCTCACACAAAGCCCAGAGGAGCTCTAAGATCACTCTGCAAACTCTGAATTACCAGCGGAGCAAAGATGCACGGGGCAGTGTGGCCTTACCTCCAGACTTCTTTCCTCCTGTGAACTAGGTCTTTACAATTTCAAGTGGTGATTTTAATACTGAAATCCAACACATTTCCAGCTAAAAGAAAGAAGAGGAGGTGGCTCAGGGGACCAGCTACAAAGTAGGAAAACACTAGCTTTGAATAGAAGACTAAGCCACCAGCAACAGAAAATAGCTAATTAATCACTGTATTAAGAAGCCTTTTTAAAATACATTGGTAGTTTGGTTTCCAACACCAAACTCCTGGTTTGTTATTTTTTGCTGAGACTCCCTCTGTGACTGCACTGCCACTTGCACCATGAATGTCCAAGCACTAGATGAATAATCTTCATCCGTGAGATAATCCATCTGGGAAAATGTAACCGCGTTCACAGCAGCCCAGTTTCTTGCGACCTATTCTGTAGACAGGATTTTGCTTTCCAACTCAGTCTGACAGGAGGCACAGTCAGAAGTCAAGAGGTCAAAGTATTTCAAGAATCTGATTGCCACTGAACGTTTGGTCGTGCCGATGAAAGAGGTATGGGGAACCGTGGTACAGGACTGGCCAGGGAGAGAGACGGATGACAGCACAACACAGGTCAAGCCTCTCCTTTCAGCCTGACAAGCTTCAAGCTTTGAATTCATTTGCTTATTTATTGAAGAAATAGCATGGGTACCAATTACACTGAAGATTCATGACAGAAGTCATTTAAAAGAATAAACTAATAGACTCAAATTCAAGCCTGAGATTTAAACCTCAATTCATACTGCAATCCAAGATACAGCAATGGTTGCTTGGACCAACACATCCAGGTCAGGTGCTCTAGGTCTCCTGCCTTTGCTATATAATCCTACATCAATGGCATATTCGTCCCCTTTCACCAAGTCTGCAGTGGTGCTAAAGCCTCTTGCACAGCTCTGATATCCCTCTAGTATGTTCAGTAGGTGTATGGAGATCTCTCTTTGAACAATACCCTTTCTCTGATCAAGGCCAAGTTTCTAAGGACTGCATGATTCTCCTTCTCTTTCAGCAACAGAAAAGTAGAAATAAGATATCAGCCAGGCCAAGCGAGGAATTAAATCCTACTGTTCCCTGGTGTAAATGACCAGCAAATACCAAACCAGGGGAACTCTCCAATTTAGTAACTGCTGATAATCATAGCAACCATTTCACTGCTCTTTTAGACAAACTAACAGAAAAAAACCCAAACTCTTGAGCTCTCAACAATGGATTTTTGTGGGTTTTTTAGCTTGTACTTACACTACTGGAAAAGTTCTGAGCATACTTTACATGGGGATGGGACGTTATAAAGCCTCTCGAGGGTCTTCAGTGTTATTCACCATTCTGTAAGACACAATTAAGAGACAGAAGAATGTTAGAGATTTCTACGAAAGGTAAATACATTCTGATTTCTTGTTATCTGACTTACAGGTACACAACCCGCTTACAGAGAGCAACCTTATGGCAGTTTCAGTGGGAAGTAGCACCAAACCACTTCTCAGTTAAAAAACACACAAACAAACAAACAAAACCAGAAAAACAAAGACAGGCACCTTCAGGATCCTTCTCCATCACCCAATCCATCCCTCTGCTGAAAGGCAGTAGAATGGATACCCACCAGTAAATATAACCATGGTTAAAAAAAATGCTCCTTGGAATCATTGACTTTTCTTGTATCATCTTTCAATTTATTCTTTTTTTTTTTTTTTAATGGAAGGTTAAAGCCTCACCCTCTTTCTTCCCTTTGCCTTCAGTGGGAGCTTTGACGTGGTTTGCAGTGGACCCATGGCCTTAAAGTCTGGTAAATAATCTTTTACATCCCAACAGCCTATGAATTATCTATAACGACTCAAGTTATAAATGGCTATTTCACAGATCTAAACCAGGCGAACCAGCTGAGTATTCTGAGCTTGTGTATGCCCACAGGTTAAAAACTGGAAATGTTCAATCCCATTACTCTGGATAAGCTGTGACTAATCCAGACCTATATATAATCACAGACATATACTTGAAGGCACATGGTAGACTCCTGAGGAGAAAGTTGATGTCTGGTAGCGTAATCAGTCCAGAGACAAAAATTTAAATTACAATTGATTTCTTTTGGCCACAAGTAAATTAATCTATGCAATCATTTAGCCTTATGACAGTTACCTACCCTTTTAACTCACAAAAGCTATTAAAAGGATTATTTGGCTAACATCCGCAAAGAGCTTAGAAGACAGGTACTATGTTCTGGAAAAGGAATGACCTAATAGAATTTTCTTTAGCTATCACCGCTGATGTGTTTCTCCACAAACTGACGTGGACTGAAAGTGTTTAAAAAGTCAAGCCATTAACCAACGGGAAAGAAGGTGGCAGGATATTATATCCAGACAGAGGCGGAGAGAACTAGAGAGGATATTCACACTGCAGGCTATGGGCGTATGTGAGCTGGGATGGAAAACAAGCGGGAAGAGCAGCACAGGGATTTGCATGGGATAATCATATAACGGACAGACACATCTTGCATCTTCTCGGTGGTTAAAAGTGGTCCAGATGTCATAGCATGGCTCTTCCCCTATCACACCTGCTACCGAAGAACTGCACCTATGCAGATGGAGACCACTGGACATGACATACGCAGGCTATACCATCATTTATGTGGATTTTTTCTTTGTGAAAAAACTTAGGAACTCTCAGGGAAAACGACTGGGCTGAAGGAGATTTTCCCAAAGTAGCAGCAGTCAGCTTCTGGCCAGCGGCTCTCCCAGGGGGTTTAGCCTGCCCCAACATGATCGCTCCCACCCAGATGTGGCAAGGGAAAGCGCCGGGTGTTTTCAGGGAGGGGAGCTGCTGAGAGCTGGCTGCTGCCATTTGCAAAACAATTCGTTTGGACTGTATCTATGCCTCGAGTTGCCTTCTTCCTCTCTAGGAAAGGAGGTCACCCAGAGTAAGGTCGCAGACAACGATGAGTGGTCCCAGCAGAACACAGGTCATGTCCTGGGGTCTGGGAGAGAAATCATGCCACCAAAGTACTGATGGATGGAAAAGACAAACACGCAGGTCCCTCGCAGTCAGCCACCCCAAACCTTTTCAAGATAGTTCTACACTGAAACACTTCTCTCTTAAATCCCTTAACTGCATTTAAAACATTTTCCCTGAAGTAGTCACAAAAAATATGAGATCATGCTGTTGACTTATTGCCAAATTTTGAGCTTAATACAGAGAGCTGTTTTGTTTTCCAAAGAGGAACAAATTAGACTTAAATATATACAAACTTTCTGAAGGTCGGAGAGGCTAATGATGGAGAACTGGATTCCTCAGAGAAAGATTTGCTTCCAGGGTCAGGAGTATGGAAGAAGCAAGGAAGAAAACCCACAAAAGGAAAGGAAAGTCCAGCATCATGAAACGCAGTATTAAAACTGGAACACGGGGAGACGAGGTACAGAGCCAAAGAAAAGGCTGCAGTAACTCAGGTGCAAGATGACAAAGGCAGGACAATGATATCAGTGATACTAATGGAAGAGAAAAAAATGGTTATAACACCTCAGACGTTATAAATGAAAAGCCATTAGGATCTAGCCCAAATTTGGGATGTGAACAGAAGACAGAAAAGGAGCTTTTCCAAGAGACTCCAGACCTGTGAGCACAGACAGAGGATGACGGCTTTTCAGCAGAAACAAACAGTAAAGAGTTGATGAGAAAACAAGAGGAATGCCCAATTTTTGCTATGTTAAAGGTTGAGGCAGCACCGTTACAGTCTGAATGCCATCGCAACTGCCAAAGACAGAGCCAAGGAGCAAGGCAGGTCAGGGAATCCTCAAGACTGCCTTGGTAGCTGGAACTGTGAAAGCCAACACAGTTACACAGAAAGGAAAGGAAGCTATTGCTTCCTCCGTCTGATGCCAGAACAGAACGGCTGCAATTGAACACAGGTTACAAATGGGCTTTGACTGAATGTTGGTCTAAAGTTCAGGGCCACAGAAATCCCCTCCCTGCCCCCATACACATGTAAAGGTTGCTTTTTTTGTAATTTAAGGGGACATCAGATGGGAAACAAGAGACCCCTTGCCTATAATTTTGGCCCCAATAATTCAGCTGCAAACAGTGTAACTTCCACCACCAACGGATCATGATTCTGAAATCATGAATCAATATTCCTCCTTCCCTCAGCCTCCTTTTAGCAAAACCAAAGCACCAAACCAGGTTTGATCAGAGCAGCAAAAGCAGCTGCAGCTGTCGCCACAATCTACAGCTGAGATGCAAGGTAAGAACTCACAAACCTTTGCCCTTTTCACGCTATTCATTAAATAAATTATCTGTTAACGCCGGGAAAAAACTACCAGCTTCGCTTCCTATTTCTGATACAGACAATAAAAAAAATTCAATATTAATATGGAAATCATGGCCACAGTTGTAGAATCAGATGTAATGAACAATCTTGTCCCCAGCTTAAGTTGCTATAAAGGCAGCTTAAATTTACTACGGATGAGTCCTCATTGCAATCTGTTTTTCAGATATTAAAAATCTCATTTTCTCGGTGCCAAGGACAAGTGGAAGTGTGAAGCATTGGAGTATCAACTCTGCATTTGTCTCACTTGACATAAAATCATTCTCATTTTAGTTCAGATTTTTAATACATTCTTGGGATCCACTTCACTTTTCTTCAATTCTCACTGTGGGCAATTAAATGTTTCGAAATATAGCTCACCCTGATCCACAATGCCCTGCAGAAGCAAGGAGGAAGTCACTTGGTAAAGATGAGGCTGATATCACTTATTTGGAAGAGAAATTAATTTTCCCTTTTAATTTCTGAATGAGTCATATTGTAAAAAATAATGCCATCACTTTGTATTTCACTAATACCTTCCTTGCTCAGTTCTTAAAAAGGGCTTTGCAAACAACAAATTAAAAGCTTTTGTCCTTGGGGAAGAGAAGCATTCACCATTTTCTCAAAAGTAAAACATGAACAGAGGTGCTAAATTCTTGGCTTAAAGCCACACAGGATGGTATCTGTGGCTGGGCATGGTATCTGCCTGAGGACACAGGCCCCGTGACTACAACAGGACTATCACCAAACCAGCTACTGAAATGCAGAAGAAGCGAGGTTCAGCTTGCTGATAAACCTGGTGCAATGGATGGTGAAGAAAATGAGAAAATTCAGCCCTGAGAATGAAGTTCTACCACTGCTGAATTCACAATAGAGGCAGATTCCCAACCCATGTGTAATTACAAACCAAGAGCCTCCTAGTAACAGAAAATGTCAACATTTACGTCCTTTCTTTAAATGATGTACTGAAATGAGCTCTGTAGGAATCGTTAGGTCTTCTGCTTGGAAGTGTGCACATGTCGGTGAACACGGGCTGTTGTGTTTCATCCATTTCACCTTCTCTGCACTGAGTGTAAAGACAAACCAATTACTGTCTTATCTCCAGAAGGCACCTTGCCTCAAAACCAGCAAGACAGCAAGGATCCATCCATTCCAGTTGATCCCAGTGGTTAATCACCCTCTCTATCACGAATTTGTACTTGATTTCTATTTTGAGTGTGTCGGGCTTTGTTGCCTCACAGACAGAGTTCGTTGCCCAGTGTCCAATAAACCAATACAAGGCACAGAGCCGAGATCAGGTTTTATTTCAATACTGCATAATACCGGTGTTAGGTGGTCAAGCCACAAAGCTAGAGCCCCTCGGAACTTTTCACGACAGTTTACATACCTGTTCTTATCATTTAACCACAACCCCAGTACAGCCTCCTCATCCATGACTGGTCAACTAATTACTATATTGGTTACACCCCACTTCTGAACTAGGCATGCTCTGAAGGGAAGGGTCTCCACGTGGGGTGGGGTCTTCATGTCGGTGGGTGTGATTGTTAGTACTATAATGACATTAAAATGAAGATAGGTTCCTTTCAGATGGTACTAATCACTAATTTGGCTGACTGCTCCAACCATACTCATTAAGTACACATTTAGTTTATGTATTTTGCAGGATGTTCCCATCTTCAAGGATAAACCTAACAATCCTTAAGTGATTAAAAGCTCCTCTTGACAGTCCCAAGGACGGTCATCCTAACCTAGACAGAGAGCACATATTTGTTATGTTAACTCTAACTTGACTTGCAGCAGCTTCAGATTCCAGACAGCAGCTCCTGTTAAGCCTTTTTTTGCCAGCTTAGAGCTCTTTATTCTTGGGAGATGTTCAGACAGGCTGTTGTTTACCCAACACTTTTAAAACTCCAGGTACTGCAATTCTATCAGAACTTAAAAGATAATTCATCCAGGTGCATGCACAAAAAGTAGGACTAGTATCCAAAATACTAAAGCTAATCTAGGACTCTCTAGCCCATTTTCCCAAAATAGGCC